CTAAAATCATAAACATGGAAGGAAAAGTAGTTTATGCATTTCTGACTTTAATGGTAGACGTATTTAATAAGAAAGACCTACTCTGTCCCATGGTACTAAGATACCTCCTAACATATTCTTTGACAGGAAGCCTGGGACTTCTCGACTAGAAAACTCATGCACTTTTGCTCGTTTTTATATGGTATTAAAAATAATTCAAGGAGGTGTTTGAGAATACTTGTGACACAACCATCAAAAACTGGTCTACAAAAGTCAGGCCTGCCTCTCATCTACATGCCTCCTTCTTTGCCTGGACCTCATTCTCTTCCCATCTCTGCAAACACAGACTTTCTCAGCTCAGAAATAGGCACAAGAAGTATCTGGTGCCTCTTGTTGGGTTCCAAGATGTGGTGGCCAGAATGCATTTGGATTGCAAAGATAGGAGACTGAAGTTAAAATGCCTTAAGAGACATCAGCATATTGAAATATTTCATAGTCTTATTTTCCAGACACCAAGAATCCTTTCCTTCCTCATGAGATACATTTCATTCCAGTTAAGCTACTTTCCGCCACATTAAAAGCAGGATCCAAAATGTGATAAATTTAGGATGGCTGTTGACTCCGTTGTGGGCTGCAAAAAGTAAGTGACAAAGACACAGACAGGGCAGGCTGGTGGCATGGTCTATATAAAACTTTTATGAGAGAGCTAGCAGCTGAAAAATCTCTCTAACAAATGAATTCTGGGTGTTTGGAGCAGCTGTGTTGTGTTGCTATTGGGAACATTCTCTGGGAATATGCATGATTTTCCTGAACTCCATTTAAAATGCTAAGTCAGTAGCTCTAAAGTATGACATTAACTGACATCTGCAGACATTAACTGACCTGCAAATTTCTGCTTAATAGACCTAACTTGGATAAAATATGGAAAAACTAAGCCAGATCCCAGGAACATGGACAGGAGCAAAAATTATCACACAAATATACTATCATTCTTCAATTAGAATTCATGGTTGTAGACTAACTACGATTCTAGGTCTGTGCACAGGATGGGAGCTGTCATAAAAGACTGCACTGTTTTATCAGAAAATAAACTTCCAGTTACTGAAGAAGCACAGGATGCTCATGGAATCCCCAGCCTTTGCCCACTCTCTTCTCCTCTCCACGTTACCACGATTCCTGGGTGCGCCGCGTTCGCTTCAAGTCTCTGCCCACTTGCCTCCCCGTGCTCTTCTGGATACTCTAAAGATGACATGTCCATGGGACCTCAGAGAGTCGGACACGCCCTAGCAACTGGACAGTAGTAACAACAAAGATGACACGCGGAGGGTCCTCAAAAAGTAAAAGCAGAACTAGACCTCTCAATCTCATTTCTGGGTATGTATCCACAAGAACTCAAACCAGGATTCCCAAAGGGATCTTTGCACTCCCACATCATTATTCATAATAAACAAGATGTGGAGACAACCCAAATGTCTATCAAGGGATGAATGAGGGTAAGGTTGTGTACATGCATACAATGGAAGATTATTAAGCCTCAAAGAAGAATTAATTTTGTAATATGTGATAACATGGATGAACTTCGAGGACATTAAGTGAAATGAGCCAGAGTCATAGAAAGAAAAAAATGGCATGATTCCACTTACATCCTGTAGTTAAAATGGTCAAATACAGAGAATCAGAGAATGGCACGGTGGTCACTAGTGATGGAGGGAGGGTAAAATAGGGATTGCTAATCAATAGGATAATGTTTCAGTTAAGCAGGCTGAATACACTCTAGGAATCTGGTGCACAACATTGTACCTACAGTGAACAACTCTGTATTGGACAGTTAAAGGTTTGTTCAGAGTATAGATCTCATGCCAAGTGTTCTTACCACAATAATACATTTTTTTTAAAGCACAAAAGTAAATGACAGAAGATATGAGGGACTTTGTAGGAAAAAAAAAAAACCCCGAGTAGCCAATACACATGCTGTGACAGTCAACAGCATTAGTAATTATGGAAAAAAAATCAACTTTTTAAAAATGAGATTTTAAAACTCAAACATTGGCAATTTTTGAAAATAACAAGAAAAACAATAAAAAAAGATGATGGTGTCTTTGGTAACTTTTAGTTACAGACTTCACAGATGTGATAAAAGTGAAGGTATGTGTGTCAAGGAAATTAAGATTAAAGCGTTTTTTTTTTTAATAAATTCACTCTCTTATCTGTATCACTTATTACTTATTTCCACAGTGCCCTAGGCTTGAAGACAGAAGCAGGAAAAACTGAAAACCAGTAAGAGGATATACTCCATTTTGATATTCTCAGCACCTAGCCGGGTCTCTGATATACATAGATGCTCAAATGATGTTGAAACAGCATGTGTCTCAAAAGGTCTCTGAACTGCAATTTAAAGAATATCTGGATTTATTTCTGTTTTTAAGATGCTATGACATTACCCTTTATAATTTTAGAAACCCCGAGAGTTTCTTGTAGCATAAGCACAGTTTTATGTCAGAGTTTTCTAGAAGCACATACACATTTAGGACAGACGTGTTTATCTGTGGGATACCACAGACAGGAAGAATTATATCCTCGGTGTATTATCAATACAAAGCCACCCTAAGATCAAATCCATATAAGCCGGTGCTGGAATTTTCAGTGAGGATGTAGACCACAGCGGTGACCACACAGGGAGCAGCACAGAGGGATGGAAAACATTCTGTCAAACGTGCGGAGGCAGCCGTGACGCTGTGGCCGGAGAACAGCTGAAGGCGGCCGCCAGGTCAGCAGTGAGCGTCCCAGAGACTGGGAAGTGACTGACGTTCACCGATCCTCCGCTTATTCTGCTTGGAAAAATGGGTATGTCACCTACCTTTCAGGATTCAATGAAAGAGCAAGTGGCAAAGGAATTTCGATGGTCAAACTGTTGTGAATTACCATTCGTCCAGTAAATTTTGGTCTCACTATTATCTGCTAGGATCTTCGTGGCTATTACAGGGCAAAAATTAACTGGCTTCTCCCAACACTACATGAAACTGAAAATCACATTTCTCTGTGACTCCAGCTACTGAGGGTCCCCGCCGCTCACGTAACTCGAGGCCGCCAGGACGGATACTAGTGCCTCCGTTACAACGGAGAGAAGCAATTACTCCATTCTCTGTTGTTGAATCTACAAGTTTTAGACATGAGTCAAAGAGACCTAATCGTACTTACTACTCCCTTGGGACAAAGAAAGTAAGTGGATTTTTGTCAGACAGCCACTCTTTCTAGAGACAGTGCTTCCCATGCCAAAGGAACGATTTTCTAGTGATGTGTAAAGGAAGATAAGAGCCATTTAGTGTGAATATTAACAAGCCATTAATGATGGAAAAGTCAGATGTTATTGCCAGATACATCCTGTGGCCCACAGCGGCTGACGACACACCCTTGACCAGGGCAAAGCCTTCTACTCAAGCAGCACGAAGCTCACTCTTTACCTCCCTTTAAAATAACCAGAAATTCGGCAGAGACAGGCCTGAAGGCAAAGACGATTAGCTATTTCTATTTGCTCCAAGTAGGAAATAATGATGCAACGGGTAAAGCAGGAAGTGGGAAAACAAGATGGAAACTCCACCACGTCAGACAGATCCCAAGCCCCGGGCATGCACAAAGCCAGCCAGGCCAGCCCTTGGCCCGCACAGCTGACCTGGCAAAGCGCTGGGCTGCTGGCATGACCTTGATTCTGGCTTGCTCCAGCCTTCTGCGCTTCTGCATTTCAGCAGCAGCTTTCTCTTCAGACTTGGGAGCTGGTGCCACCACTGCCCCCTCTGGAGGAGGCTGCTCCTTCCCACAGCTGGTGGGTAGTTCTGACCCACCATCAGGAGGCTTCCCACTGGTGTCCATTTGACTGACGGGGTCCTCTTCACAAGGAGACCCCACTTCACTTTCCTCTTCCTCTATCGTTTCAGGATAGCTAGTGAGTTGGACAACATAATTGACCAAACTAACTCAGTAGGCTGGGGAGCAGATCATAGATCAGCTCCTGGTCATTCTGATATTACTTCCACTTGAAAAAAGATCATAGTATGCAATACTATTCTGGTAATGTGAAGAAAATTAAATGTAGCCATTTGTTAATTAATATAACACATCATGATTGCTTAATATAACACATCATGATCGCCACATTGATTGAAAGCTATTTCAAACTTTGATAGGCAAAAACCTTTTCTGACAGAAAGGCAAAATTCATGTTTTCTTTAATAACGACAACTTTGAATAAAATGTTTACTCAATGGAAAATCATAGATAATAAAGGTAGACTATAAAAAATAACCAAGCAATGATCAGGATGGTTTTGCTAAAAGCATTAGACCAGGTTATAAGCTTCTTTTATTAGACTGTAAGGTTCTTGAAGGCAAAGACCCTATCTTACCTTCTATTGGGTCCCCGACACCTAAAAGATCTACTGCTTAGCACATGGTAGATGCTCAATAAATACATTCTTACTGAATAAATGAATGAAGAAATACAAAAACATAATCAGAGATTAGGGGAAAGACTGCTTGCTTCCCTAAAAGTGACGAGAAGTCCAATGCTTCTTCCATTTCATTAGGACTGTTTGTTTCTACCTACGACTCAAGCATGTTCACGCATCCCTTACATAATGCTTGAGCTTATGTCTAGATAAACTTCCATGTAGATAAAAGGTCTTATTAACAGGACTGATCTAACAGGACTGGGAGTCAGATAGTCTCCAGAGAAGGATATGGATGACAGATCTGTTTTCAATGTCCTGATGATGGAGCTGGTTTCAAAAATCTACTCATTAGACAGACCAGTGTTGGTTGAATACCTACTGTGTGCCAGCCACAGTTGTAGGTGCCTTCATGGAGCTCCTATCCTATTGAAGATCTCTCTCTGAAGGTCTGTTCTTCCCACCTCCATCTGTAAGCTCACATCAATGGTGTACAGTGGCTCTTGGGGCTCATTCATATCCAGGGGCCGTGGCTCCTGTATCGCAAGCCAGGACGGGAGCAGCACAGCCCAGGTCTTACCTGAAGGGCCTCTCCCCACCCAGCGGGGAGGTGGCGGTGCTCCAGCTCTTCCGATATTCCTCTCGCTCCACCTTCTTCCTTCTCAGAGGCGCAGGGACGTAAGCTGTCTGGTTGCTCTTGTTGGGGAGGTACTGGTTAAAAGGCACTGCTGATTTCGGCTCACCGTGGGACGTCCGCCTCGCAGACATGTCATCCTTCTTCACATCGGGCAGCTTCCGATGGGGCAGGTCGGATTCAGAGTCGCTCCCCCTCCCTGGGGAGAGAGGACAGGTGCTGAGAGAGTGTGCCGGGCTAGCAATAAAATTCCAAAGGCAAGTATACAGTATGGGGGATGTGGTTAAATCTGTGGGTTCCGGGGATTACGTCCTTAAATTATTCACTTAACAAATAGAAAGTATCAGTTGAAGTTAGTCTACTCTGGGAAAAGCTCTCAGTTCTAATCAAGAGAGAAAAAAGTCAAATTAAAAAAAAAAAGAAGTAAGCTTAGCTGAATCTGAGAGTTACAATTAACAACACATTTGCAATCGGACTATATGCCTGCTCAGATTCTGCAAGTCTCAAAAGAAAAAATAAATTTATGGAGTTTTTACACAGCACCTATTGTTGCATGTCTTATCCTGCACTAGATATTCTCACAAATAAGAATTATAAAAGATTTATAATCCTTTGTCTTTGACGTATCTTTAACCAATTCATGAAACACCTGGAGAATATTCGTTATAATCAAGGAGCACAGACATATAAGAACTATAGGAATTCAGAAAAATGATCAGTATGGATTATACCAAGAGTTTGCCTTCCAGGAAATGGCTTGAGTTATAATAAATGCATATTCCTCTATATCAGGGCCCTTCCTGGTACCCAGAGCTGGAGGCAGTTTTTTCCTGTGAACACTATGGCCCGATGATCTATTTTTCTTCTGGCACTTTATCCTTTCTATTTTGTATTTTGAGAACAGGGCTTTATACCCTTCACAGTACTTATCACACGGTCTTTGCACACAGTGGATATACTCAAACGATCAGATGAATCAATGAATTAGTCTAGCTTAAAGAGTATTCTATACAACACAAAGGAATTCAACGTTACCAACATCAGTCTCTTTCACTGGGCAGTATCCAAATTATACTGTATCCTTGTTTCCTGAGTCTCATCTCATCAGATTTCTAACATCCACTGGACTGAAACTGTCATCAAAACACCACTCCTGTGATAGGCAGCCACCATCTGAACGCTGGTTGAAAACTCTTAATCACTGAGTGCCTTATAAAAAGGTCCTTCAACTCCATTGATAGCAAACAGAAATTGACTTCTTTACATTTGTGAAAAGAGCCTTAAACTAAAAGTCAAGAGATGTGGCAGCCTTAGAGAAGCGGGTAGTGCGGGCGGTTAAGTCAGATCCACTTTGTACTGAGCTCTGCCACTCACCAAGGCTTCAAGTGGTGCAGGGACCAATGCCAAAGTAACACCGCTAGTTTTCCAGTCTATAATATAGTGAGGATAGCAGTATCACCTGCTTCGTAGCACTGTTGGGAGGATCAGATACGTGTGAGACTACTGCTACAGTACTTGGTCCTGAGTAAGCGCTTAACAAACACTGACTGCTCTTCATGCTAACAGTTCCCGATCTGTCATCTGTCAGCTCATCTGATGAGCTGTGGGCTCCCAGGCTTGTCTCTAATACACCTGCTCATCCTTTTCTGTAAAAAAATAGTAATAAAATAACTTACCCTGGAGATTAAATGATTCAATGGCTTTTAAACAACAGTAAAAGTTAAAAGCATTGACCATAAACAAGTTGTTTATTGTTGCAGATGAAATGTTCAGTTTATGAATTATTCATGTCACTGGCTTTCAGCCTCCCTTCTGGAGTTTTGACCATTTCATTACTTGTTGGTGTTTGATTCATAACTTAGTTCCCTTCTCTCACCCCAAGTCTTTTAGCACGTATATCTGTCTCAGTGTCATAACAAAATACTTGGAGCCCTCGGTGAATTGCTTTATAACGAACACTAATACTACCTTACCTTGCCAGGCACTTGGATTTGTTTCCCTATTTGATATTTTCCCCATGATACAGAGGTGAAAACAGAGACTCAGAGACCCAAAGGGCCCCTTCTCCAAGGCTGGTCAGTAACAGCTCAAGACTCCAATTTCTGTTCTCCAGATTCCAGCCCAAGAAAGACCCCTGGTTGCTGGAAGGAGAGAAACATGGCCCTGGGGAAAGGAAGGATCAGAGTTTGATAAAATGATATCATCATCATCACATGCACTATTGCAGTTTTCTAACTTTGGGCACAATGCCCCCAGCTTAAAGCATCCTGACTGTACTTCACTGAATAGATGAAGGAAAGAAAATGATTCTTCAATCAACTGTGAAGGCCTAGCATGGAATAGAGCTGTCACTATTCACTCTGTTCTAAAACCCTATAATCTATGAAACTTATTTTGGTACAGTATCTAAAAACATATTACCTATAATACACTGAGAGTCTCAAAATAGGTTGTTTAACACATAAACAGATCACCTCCCCCGCCTCTTCAATTACTCTTTGATAAATGTCTTCAACAGACACTTCAAAAAGAGTTAATTTACAAATGCCCAGAGGCAGAGTGACTTAGCTGAAAGCAGTGTAACTTTCTGGACTTGGAGACCAGGGTCTAATTTCAGCTCCATCATCGCCTAGATGTGTGACTGGGGAATGTATGCCCTCTGTTCCTCAGGGTCCTCATTGGAAATAAGGTGATAATACAGCTCTCATGAGTTGTTGTGAGGATTACCTGATACCTAAAGCACCCAAGTGTTAGAACTCTTCTTATCTCAGGCCAAGACTTCAAAAGATTTTGACTTAATCCTGAAAAGATGAAAATGTACTAGGATGGTTTCTCCATCTATGCCCAGTAGTACACATGACCATGATGACATCCTTTTATCAAAGTCCGATCCTTCCTTTCCACTGGGTCTACATTTCTCTCCCTTCCAACAACTAGGGGTCTTTCTTTTTTTTAACCCATGTTTACCATATACGGGCTTCCTTAGTGGCTCAGATGGTAAAGAGTCTGTCTGCAATGCAGGAGACCCGGGTTCGATCCCTGGGTCGGGAAGATCCCCTGGAGAAGGAAATGGCAGCCCACTCCAGTACTCTTGCCTGGAGAATCCCATGGACAGAGGAGCAGGGCAGGGATTGCCCAGAGTCAGACACGACTGAGCGCCTCCCTTCACTTTACTTTACCATATACGCCACCAACCCTTTACTTTTTTCTTTAATTTCTCTCATTCCTTATTTCTCTCCCTTAACCAGCCTTTTATATAAGAGATAAGAATATTCATTTAACAAAGTGCATTATGTTTATAAAACATGTTCTTAATTTTAAAAGCATCCGAGTGGAAGATTTTGTATTTCCTCTTCAGTGGAGCTCGCCTCAGAAGGCATGTCAGTGAAAGCGAGGGAGGAACTGGGGGCCTGTCAGGCAAGATGGAGTGGCTGAGCTGACCTGGGGACCCACAGCTTCCTTACCGTGTGGCTCTTGTGTCCAGCCCATAGAGTCACGGCACCTCTTATGTGCGTGGCTCTTGACTATCCCTATTGAATGGGTCAGTGGGCCTCAGTAATAACAAAATGAAAACTCTCTCTCGACCCAATATGGAATTGGAAAATTTCATGTTAAGACTTTCCTTAGTTGATTATGAGTCCTAGGAAGTAAATTTTCAAGAATTTAAAAAAAAAAAAAAAGTTCTTCTAAATTTGAAAGTGTTTATTAGGACTAGCAATCTTCTTGATTATATCACTTAAAAAATATACCATAAACTCTAATGAAATACAACATCAATTTGGATAAAATCATACCACATTGTTAAAGGCAGACAAAAAGTGTTGTTTTTCTTTAAAACCTCATTAGGTCTTGATTAGTTTACAAGAATATGAGCCTGAAGGTATCAGACTGATTGGTGAAATCTGTATGTTAAGATGCTCTTTCACGGATGGTGTTTTGTGAAGCTCAATTTCATGTTTTTCTCTACATGGGAAAAATTGTTATGAAAAGACTCTGGCTTATCAATCTTAATTGCTGCAAATGAAATTGTGCCTGAGCACGTATTAGGACAATATTAGTAATTACCATCTCAAATCCCTTCAAGATGTGGCTCATTATAAACTCTGAACCTCTCGAAGCTGGTGACAGAATAAATAAAGGATCCACATTACCAGTTATTAAAAACCAGGATGAGACAACAATAATTCTTTAAAACAATCAAAATAATATGGATGCAATAGTTTAGTTATGATATGTTTCATGAAAGTAAATCTCTCTTTGAGTTATGTTAAAGTTCAATTAGATCATGCAGTTGGTATTGCAACTTCTAATACTGTGGGTGGGACTTAAGATGTCATGTAAAATTGTAGAAATGTTTTTCAAGCAGCTCACAATGCACCATGGAATTCTTTAGGAGTCACATACGATATGGCCCTGAGGCTAATCTATTTGCTGGCAAGTTTAAGTACTAAACAAAAGCATTAGTTCAGTCATGCTAGAATTTGAAAAATCTATTAAGCAAACAGAAAGAAGTGTGAGTAAATTAAGCTTTAGGGTTATAAGCTTTGGACTCACACTTCTCGAGGCTAACATTGTCACTCTGCTTACAGTGATTTGGGGCACTTATAATGTTAGGATGGTTTCTTAACCTAAGATTCATCTGTAAAATATGGCTAAGGAGTGTTTCATAGCCCTGTGAGAGAACTAACTCACATACTGGGCATCTCATAATCTGTGCTAAGGATTAAATGAGATACCAGAAGTCGAGTAATGAACTCAGGGCCTGGGCATATTAAATACCCAAGTATTTCGGTAACATAGAATTTTATAACTGGAAGGGATCTTTCAGCTATAAAATAAAATTTTCATCTCAGACAGAAGACTTAAAGTCTCTAGACATATGAGCTTCAATCAGAAGCTAATTATTTCTTTTTCTAATAAAAAGAAATAGACACAAATAAAAGAATTCCCCTGAGAGTCTTTCTCCAAGTTTCTCCATGCAGAACCAAGCTATCTTCCCTTCTTATTAATAAAAGCACAAAGGCACAAGATAAGTAAGGTAAACGGCTTCTGAAAAATATGCATTAAATTTACATCAGGTTGCATGACCATACATTTTTGTAAAGAAAAATGATCATTCCTTTCAGGTGATATAAAATCCAGGAGATTTAAATCAAACCCAGCCTCTGAAGAAACAAGCAGTCTGGGTTGTGTTCAATACATCAAGGACCACCTGCATCGCTCTAGTCAACGGTCAGTTACCATAAGTATCGAATATTGGCAAAACCATGCCAATTAAAGTTTCACAGTCCCAAGCTTCCGAGCTGTCATAAGTCTGGGCCGTGTGTTTCCAGTTTGCTGGAAGTTGATCCATTTTCACTTATACAGTGTGGTACTCTCTCAAGCATTTCCCTTCCTCGTACCTGGAACATATAAACCTCCAGCACACTTTATGAGCTAATGGTCTGTACAGCCTCTTGATTCACTGAGACCCAGGCAGGAATGATGTAACACATTTTCCAACAGAAGATATGCTCACTGAGGCAATGTTCAAACCAACTGCTGGCAAAGGAACCCAAATTCTAAGGACCACCAAAAAACAACATTGAGAGATTTTTTTTTCCTACCAGTTTAGAGTTGCCGCAAGGTAGGTGTGGAGTCCGCCTTCCCAGTGCCAATCTCTCAGCTGGGGACAAGGCAGCTCTTGTTAGTGTTTCATTCTAAGAAGTGCAGTTTGTTAAGGCTCCAACCTACCATCACTGCTTCCCCTGAGGACTACATCTGGCGAGGGAGTCTGCCGGGAACGGGAGCCAAAGGAGTCCAGGCTGTCGAAGGAATCATCTCTGCCGTGTCGAGGGGGAGACAGGGAGTCGCTGCGCTCGGAGTCCCAGCAGTCGATGTAGCCACTGTCTCGAATACTACGTTTAGGGCTCTCAATGTCATCAGCCTCCTGTTCAAGAAGAAAACAAAAGGATTACAGACCTACTGCAACAGACCCAGAGCCTATGAATCTCAGGAAAATCAGTCCCTGGCGGTCTCCAAAAAATCCTGCATACAGAATCACTGGAAAGGCTATAGCAAGGAGTCATCACATTGATTATCATCTGCAAGTCAACATTTCATTCTCCAACCCTTCCCTGCTACAACTCTCTCAATCAGAAAATCACACACATTAAAAAAAAATAATCCCCAGGCATCTCGTAGTCCACAATGTTTAAAAAAAAAAATTCGAGAAATCAAGAATAAAAGATCATCAAGTTTGGATTCACAAGAATACAATAAAAGATGAAAAGAAAAGTGAAAAACAAAAAGCTTAACCTTGACCCGTCTTTCAGGATCCATAGCTGCATGTCTGTTCCGGGACCCAACCCCTCGTTTAGTTGTACAACTGCTTCTGTTTATGCTGTCTGGCTGAGGCACACAGCATTTGTTTTTGCAGCAGAATCAGTTTCATAAAATCCTGGAGCAGTATGCTCCATCTTCTGCTACCTTGAAGGGAAATTCCTGCTCTGAAAGGGAGCTGTCTTTTCTGGGGCAAAAAGTTAAAAAAAAAAAAAGAAGCAGTGAAAAATATGCAAAATGCTTTTCCTGATGCTTCAGAAGAATCCAGGCATGCTCTCACTCTCGGCCAGCTCTTGGCGCTGGGAGAGCTGAAAGCACTTGTGGCTGACCCACATGTTCAGAGCAGTGAAAACAATGGCTGTCTTTGACAGCCTGTGATTATAAATTCTTTCCAGCGCAAGCAGCACATACTAAAACACTGAAACTCCAGCAGAAGAAAGGTCAGTCAAAGCCATCCTCACCCTCACATTATAATAAAAGCCTTGTTCCCGCCAGTGTCTTAGCATTAATTACAAGAGTCCAAGCTGATGAAAACAGAAATAACTCCGTTCACTCAAAGATAAACCTCAGTTTAATCTCTCCCAGACTGTTGCCTAAAATCAGGGCTGTGAATGACATCCACAAAGACTGAAAGGCCCCACTGTAGATTTCCTGGGATGCTCAGGCAGGTACCCTCCACATTCCCCATAGAAAGGAAAAACAAACAAACAAATATACTCCATGTCAGCAATTTTTAAACACTGTCTACACTGACTTATATGCCCACCACAGCCAGTGTCTTTGTAGGAATTGCCTTGTCCAGCGGCTTCCATCAGTTATAACCTCTGACTCTGACTTTAGTTAGATCCGCTGACTCTCCCCCGTGGGGGGCCCTCTGGGGGGACAGAGTGGGTGTCATTCACAGGGCACATGCAGCTCTTGCACCAGGGCTCAGAGTGAGCGAGAGGGGAAGGGAAGTGTGGAGAGAGGCACCCTGCAGCTGCCACCGAGGACCTGAATATGGCCTGGGTGAGTCCAGCTGACATGACCCTCCGGAGGAAGGCAGAAATTCCAGTTATGGAAATGAAGGTAGTTTACTTGTAGGTCAAAAGTTAACCAGGGCTTGTACAAAAGCCAGGCCTGACTTTTAGCAGGAAAAGGAAGAACTCATGACTAACTGAAAATTATATATCTAAATTGGATATGGTTTTGCATTTAATTTCTTTTGAAATGCAAGTAATTATCTTGGGTTATTTATCCACTGAGAACAGGCCAAATGGCTAATGTTATTGAACACTTACTCTGTGTCTGGGGCTATGTTTGATGCTTTTTGTAGGCTATATTATTCAATCCGCACCACCTACTCCCCAGTGATGTGGTTGGCGTTGTCCCCATTTTATAGAAAAGAATCAGAGAGTTCGAGTAACTTGACTGAGGTCATGCAGTAATCGGCCAAGCTGTGATTCTGACAGAGGACTCTGTCTCCAACTACCACATGGCAAAAGCTGACAACATCAGATGAACTTCAGTATAGTGACAGCTGTCATCAGCAGCATCACCTCTTTCAACTGCTGTATACTTACTGCCTGCTTACGCTTGCATGCTAAATCGCTTCAGTCGTGTCTGACTGTGCAGTCCTATAGACTACAGACCACCAGACTCCTCTGTCCATGGGATTCTCCCAGCAAGAATACTGGAGTGGGTTGCTGTGCCCTTCTCCAGGGGATCTTCCCAACCTAGGGATCGAACCTGTGTCTCTTATGTCTCCTGCATTGGCAGGTAGGTCTTTGCCACTAGTGCCATCTGGGAAGACCCATGCTTATACTGGATGATGCTAACCTGGATAGTCCCCCTTCACTAAATGCTGTGTATGCCTAGATTCCCAATCTATACCTGCTGCAAAAGAGAAACAGTTTGGAGTAGGTTAAAAGCATGGTCTTGGAAGCTCAGCTGACTCCTGGCTCCACCCCTTGTCAGCTGTCTGACCTTGGGCTAGTTATTTGACCTTGGCCAAGTTCAGTTTTCTTATCTGTAAAATGGAGCAAATAATATTTATGTCATAGGGTTGCTGGGAGGGTTAAATGTATTACTACATGGAAAGCATTCAGAAAAATGCCTGATGCGTAAGTGCTCAAAAAATGTTAGCTATGCATTCATTTGGCATGAAAATGTCAATATATAAATCATACAAAATTTATAAGTGCAGTTAAGGACATAATCTTATATAAACACTGATACTCTTCTATCTCCTTCTCCATTTATATCCCATAACTAGATGCCTTGGGCCCAATTTCCCATCAGGGAGGGCAAACACTTAGGAAGCCCATATCTAGAAATGACACAATTTTATAAGCTGCTTGGTACAGCATTACAAAACTGAATTTTCAAGAAAATAGTATCAGATTTTATTTTCTTGGGCTCCAAAATCACTGTGGGCAGTGACTGGAGCCATGAAATTAAAAGACACTTGGTCTTTAGGAAAGCTATGACAAACCTAGACACTGTGTTAAAAAAGGAGACATCACATTGCCGACCAAGGTCCATATAGTCAAAGCTACGGTTTTTCCAGCAGTGCTGTGTGGATGTGAGAGCTGGACCATAAAGAAGGCTGAGTGCCGAAGAACTGATGCTTTCAAACTGTGGTGTTGGAGAAGACTCTTGAGAGTCCCTTGGACTGCAAGGACATCCAACCAGTCAATCCTAAAGGAAATCACCCTGAATATTCATTGGAAGGACTGATGCTGAAGCTGAGGCTCCAATCCTTTGGCTACCTGATGTGAAGAGCCAACTCATTAGAAAAGACCCTGATGCTGGGAAAGACTGAGGGCAGGAGGAGAAGGCGGCTATAGAGGATGAGATGGTTAGATAGCATCACTGACTCAGTGGACATATTTTGAGCAAACTCTGGGAGAGAGTGGAGGACAGAGGAGCCTGGCATGCTACAGTGCCTGGGATCACAAAGAGCTGGACACGACTTAGTGACTGAACAACAACAAGTATCAGGAAAGCTTTCCCAGACTCCCAAGTGTCTCCCCTACCCTACCCTACAAACCACAGGAGAAGAGAAAGGAAAAAAACCCTGAAAGTCAACATGCTTCTTGGAGCTTCAGCTGCTTTCTCACAGGTAGTTCTGGGAAAGAAAAACAGAAAGGCCATTCTGTTCATGACTTCATAGAAAGCCAAGAACAAGACCTTGGATCAAGTGAGAGCTGGAAGCTGAATGGCAGCTTGCCAAATGTAAACCAGGCTACCTGTGGCCATCCTTGGCCATAGGAACCTCAGGGTGAAGCAAGAGACTGGAAACAAAGATGTGGACGTTAGCAGGATGAACAATCTTATTGGATTCCATCAAGACACCCAAAGGCAAGCTTTGCGAGAGTGGTTAGAAGATATGAACAACACAAAGGCTTGCACAGTCTAAATGTTCCTTTCTTTGCATCTGTTATGTTGTCTATGCTTCCCATCTAGGGGCCCAGTAGCTGCATCCTGTCTTCTGCAGAGCGTACTCCAAGGAGAGGGGATAAGACTTAAGGCTCTCCAGTGTGCTAACTGTCGGTTGCTCCAGTAAAAGTGTGTTAATGAATGGGGTGGGAACTACTAGCTTCCACAATATTTTTGGATTATTTCACTCATCTGTCCTCCTCTCATCCTCCTTTGTCGGAGATAATGAGAACCAGCTAGGGTTGGTGAATGACTTATGCTTTCTGAGAAACTCCAGACGCCTCTGTTTTACTGCTCACCATTTTCTGCTTCTTTTGATTTATAAGGCGGTTAAACTCTATTCTGGAGTGTTTCAGGTTCTACTTTTTCAGCCTGATGAGCTGTCTCCACCCACCACGCTCTGGTTGGGAAGTTATTCATTCCACAGATACTGACCAAGCATCTTCTATGTGCCAAGCACTGTCTCAGTTCTGGGGACATAATGTTGAGCAAATTTGAGAAACACCTTGTCCATCTTGGGCCCTACACTCTAGCAGGAAAGAAGAAAAGCAAACAGAAACACCAGTAAATGAAGACAAAGTTGGACTGTATGTATCATGAAAAAATAAAGCAGATTAAGGGAATAGAAGTTGATGGTGGCTGTCATCTAGGGCGAGGTCTTGTATTTGTTGGCTATCCATCTCCCCCCTCTTTATCCCCATGTTCTGCTAATACCCCTCACCATCTGAAACAGGAGTAGTCTAGGCCAATCACAGTCTATGTTGCTCCCGGTCACACTGACTAGCTCAGAAATAGAACCCACACGGGGCCAGAGTGCATCCCAGGACTTTTCAGCCGGGGCCAGAGAGGAGAATTCCTTGCCTTTCTGGGCAAGGAGCTAGAAGCAGAGAATTCTGCTTTTGGCCATAGTCTCTGCAATGGGAGAATGTCTACCTATAGGAGGAGAGGATGAATTCAAAGACAGACAGGAAGAGATGAGAGCAAGAAAAAGAAAGAATCTAGAAAGTCAACATAGTTCCAGACCCTGAGATCTCTAGGGCCACCCTCATCCCCATGGTTCTTCCTTCAATCTCACTATTCTTGTAGTAACTCCCCTTGGTTTAGCTTGGATGTCCCCCGCTTTGGGAGACCTTCTCTGACATATCCAGGCCCAGTGAAAGGCCATTATCACCATGCCTTCAGAGGCCTTTACGCTCTAACACAATAGCAACCTACTACGGACACCTAGTATGTGTCAGACACTTATGTTAAGGGCTCCACACGTATTAAGTGCACTATAGAATGTGTACCATCGTTAATCATTTTTTGCACATTTCTCCTACTAGAAAAAAAATGAATATGAAAGAAATTGTTGCCTTTGTGAAAGAAAAGCTTTAAATTTCAAATCTACTTCAGCCTGAGTATGTGCAGAAGAGATTCCAGCTGACTCTCAGTATCTGTTTTCCAGTTCTCTTCCAGTGAAAATACCCATAATCTGCTTTTTGTTTTTCAGTGGGAGGCAGGACATTGTGATTTTATTTGTTTATTGGCTGTGCCGGCTCTTCGTTGCTGCGGGAGCTTTTCTCTAGTTGTGGTGAGCAGGGGCCACTCTGCAGCTGCAATGCACAGGCCTCTCATAGCAGTGGCCTCTCTTGTGGAGCATGGCTCCAAGGCATGCAGGCTTCAGTAGCTGTGACGTGTGGGCTCAGAAGTTGTAGCTCCCAGGCCCCACAACATGTGGGATTTTCCCAGATCAGGGATCGAGCCCATGTCTTCTGCATTGGCAGGCAAATTCTTTACCACTGAACCACCGGCAATGTCCACATGCAGTTTTTAGAATGGAATAAAATCTACTTTCCTCAAGTCTTTCCTTGCAGCTAGCAATGGACATGTGACCAAGTTTAAGTCAACAGGATGTACGCAGAAGTGTAGTGCATGACTTCCCAGAAGTGTCTTTAAAGTAAGGCACAGAGCTTTCTTCTTCTCATCCCTGATTTCTCTGGGTTAACAGGAGGACGTGAAGGCTAAAGCTTGCATGGCTACCTTGGATCAAAAGGCTATGAGTTGAGGATCATGGAGTAAAAAGACAGTAGGCCCCAGCTGGTCACAAAACCTTCACACCAGTCCTGGACACCTCATGTCCAGGTCTTATGCGAGTTTGACATAAAACTCTATTTAATCTAAGTCATTGGTAGAGTTTTCTGCATTGACCAGCCAAACTCAATCCTAATTGATAAAATAATACACAAAATGAAATAATACTGTTGTTTAGTCACTAAGTCGACCCCACGGACTGCAGCACACCAGGCCTCCCTCCCTGTCCTTCACTATCTCCTAGAGTTTTCTCAAACTCATGTCCACTGAGTCAGTGATGCTATCTAACTATCTCATCCTCTGTAGCCCCCTTCTCCTGCCCTCAATTTTCCCAGCATCAGAGTCTTTTCCAATGAGTCAGTTCTTCACATCAGGTGGCCAAAGGATTGGAGCTTCAGCTTCAGCATCAGTCCTTCCAATGAATATTCAGGCTTGGTTTCCTTTAGGACTGACTGGTTTGATCTCCTTGTTGTCCACGGGACACTGAAGAGTCTTCTCTAGCACCACAGTCTGAAAGCATCAATTCTTCTGTGCCAGCCTTCTTTACAGTCCAATTCTGACATCCATACATGACTACTGGAGAAACCAATCTAATATTTCCAGTTATCAAATAGACCAGTGAAGTTCAGGTGGGTTACTCTCTAGTTTACATGGAGATATGGGAGCACCAGGGCTGGTTTTGTTTAGTTGGTATGCTTTGTCCAGTGGTACTAACTACTCCCTTGTGTTCCGTGACATCTATCTTCATTAAAAAGGTAACAGCTGTTCACAATAGTGGGTCCTTTCAAGGCAGTTGTTGAGAACTAACTATCTCAAAAGAAAGGGAAGTTAGGAGAGACTCTGCAGCTGCAGAGACAAATAGATGCTCAGATTTTTAAGGAGCCAGACTAGCAGTAAGAAATGTCAATAATGAGAAGAAATTACATTTCCAGAGAATCAAGCAGGGAAACTATGAGGCAGAGCTTTTAAATAGTTTAAAACAGATAATCCATCTATCATTATCCAAGTCCAAATTTAACAAAAAACAATAAACATTTAGATTTCACAAATCCAGACTAAAGCTCACCTTTGTACTTTGCCTAAGTAACTCTTTTGAGTGAGATGAAGATTAAAGGACAAATAAGAGTTAAGACTAAGAAACAATGTGTTCGAGCGGTGTGTTTATTTTTCAAGGAATTGAGCTTAAAGGACTTTGTTTATATGTGTTACAGACCAGTATGAAAGCTTTGTCCATTTAAACATTCGTGAGCCAGCCTGTTTCTAGCCAAACACAAAGAACTGTCAGAACTATTTGCTTTAAGGAGAAAAGAATAAATTGTTAGAAAATTGCAGCAAATTCTTGCTTTCAGTATTAAAAGCAAAACTATAAAATACAGAATGTCCCTCACCGAGGTCTCATTAGTGCATTTAGTTTTCCCATTAGAGGAAAGAGGAGGAAGCCCTCAGTTATCTCGGCTGCACTGCGGGTCTTATCCAAAACCCATGGGTGCTACTGATTCCAAATGAGTCTTCCCTTCTCACTGAGGCTTGCTGGGTGGGGCTGCTCCCGGGTGATACCATATCCTAGTACTTTGGGTGAATTCTTATTTACTGCTGCATCTTTAAACAGGCACACACAGGCAGCCACACATAAAACATACTACTTTTTCTTGAACAAATCCCTACCTTAGGTCAGTCTTTCCCATAATTAAATACACAAAGCTCTGACTCTTACCATGTTTTCCAAATTTTCAGGTCATTCAAATGCAAAGGTCATAAGATATGCATCTTAGAAGAGTATGTTTCTAATTTTTCAGAGACCAAGGCAAGAACTTGGCCAATGTTACCTCACCCATACCAAGGCCCTGACAGGTAGACAAAATGACCTTTAGGATCAAAGTGCAGAGTGAGTCTTCATTTTTGTATAATACTGTGTTGTTTCACTCAGCCATTATTTCCCCAAGAAAGCAGGCACTGAGCTCTTTGGCACCCAGAGTCATATACTGCCAGACTGAATCTGTTCTTTGGGAATGAAAGTTGGATAGAGATAAGCCCTCCCGTTCTCAGAAGGGAATAAAATTTCAGGTAGGGGTGGGGTATAGGAGGCGAAGCTGTCGTGGGTAAGACAAGCGGTCACTTCCTTGAGCACATGACATCTCTGGCCTGTGTGATTCCATCACGCGGACCTGTAATGATCTTGAAAGCAAGCAAATGTGTTGCTTTCCCACCTTGTCTAAAGCTCGCGGGATGAGGAAGAAAAGCCAAGTTACCTTTCTCATCTGAGCCAGCAAGCCTTCAAACTCCTTCAGGTTCAGTGTAGTCCCACTGTAGGAGGCACAGCTGTTGGCCGCTTTGCCCAGCCAGTAAATGGTCACCAGTACCTGTGATACAGGGTTGCGCACAGAGAATTACTTTTCAGCTAAGAGCCAAGAACGCTCCTCTAACAGGAAAGCAGGCAGAGAGAATGTGAAATGCTAATTTACAAAAAACACCTTCCCTGAGGTGTCCATTCTAGGTAAAACTGTTTTACCAGGAACCCAGTTCTGCACCAGTCACCACAAACATGATTCAGTGGCGAAAATAAGACCCTAGTTTTAGGAAGAATTTGGTTGTGAGAATGTGAGCAGGAAGGAAAAATAAATCTTCCAAAACTATTTTCGTGTCATGAAGGTTTCAAAACCAGGAAGCAAAAATTTTCAGAAACTCTGGAGTCTTTACCCAGGCAGGCAATGAAACAGGTTGTTAATTCCTTTCAAGAGCAGTACCTTTAAAGGCCCATAATTTCTACTTGCGGGCACAGAGGTGCTGCTAAGGCCATTAGCAAAAATTTTTCAAAGGAGTGAGAAAACATAATTAGTGGTTTCCAGAACAAGATCAACAAAATATATCTAATTAAAGTCAGAGGACACCAATGTAATGAAGAATACATTCTGCAGAGACCTAGCTCTGGGATATAGTTAGTTAGATTCCTATTAATCTGAGATGGGAAATTTGGGGCTGGGCAAGACTACTGCCAATTAGCAACCGTTTGAATGTTTAAGAATGTCTATGAATATTCACTGGTCTGAAGCTTCAGTCCTAAGTGAATTTTGTCCTGTTTTTCCAAAGAAACTATCCACAAAATTGAGTTCTCTTTACACTGATTTTCCCACAGAACCCCACAGAGGTCATCTGCAGATGAGCTCCATAAAGTTGAATGACTGGGATCTCAAGCCTATGGAAAAGCTAAGACTACGATTTTGTTTTCACATTTGGTCTTAATGCTTCAGCTAGGTTGGGAAGTATTTACTGTACCTCCCTCTATTTGCTAGGCCAGGAAATGCTTTGGACAACATGATATATGTACAAGCTTCCAGATGGCAACAGGCCCAAAATATGGTTATGTGCATCATTGCTACGATGTGATTTGGTTTCCTACCTCTGTGGGAAAATGTTAGTTTAAGAATCCTTCAAAACTTTCAGAAATACTTTTTTAAATGATTACTTACAAATAAATTTCTAGAGTACAGACAATTACAGATGTCAGGACATGAACTAGGCCCATAAAATAACTCATGTGTGTTAACAGCTTGAGGCTCTCTTGAAAAGTGTAATAGGAGAACAAAAGACAGGACTGTGTTGTGTCTTAGATTGTGGGATTTCGGTTTAAAATTGTATGATTAAAAATGCACAAAACCCTGGTTTTATAGAGGAAGAAAAAAGAGGTAAGAATGAGAATGTCAGTCAAATATAACAGCATCCTGGAAATTTTTTAAAAAGTGGAGGGTCACAGCCAATTTTAAAATTTTATATACAGAAGGTCATTTCGTACACTCTTCAATTTAAACTTAAAAGAGCACTTGGAAAATAAATGTAAAATGTACTTGGAAAATAAGATCCAACTAGAAAAAGATGATTTTGGAAGGTACTAATAAAAACCTCAAAGGTTAATAGCAAAAAAATACACAAAAGGTACAGGCCCACAGCAGTTAACGGTATTTATATCATACTAATATTTTCCCAAAACCAACTTGCCCAACTGCTTAATTTAATAACCCCATCTGCGCTTACCAACTGCAAGGAAGTAATATTAGTGCTCAGACAGATCATTCTGTGTTTAAGAAACTAAATTACAAATAGAGTGCAAGCTTTCATTTATTTCAGATGGAGCTCTTATCTAATTAAAGAGACATCCCCCCGAAAAAAACTACCATTTTTATTTCTATCACTGACATTAATTTTTCTATCAGAGGTACATATACTTGTTTTCTAAGAATGATTCTTTCTAGCTAGGCATTCGAGAGGCACTGAACTTATGAGGTAAAATTTATACCTGAACCACCAATGTTAGAAGGAGAAAAGCTTAGAAAGTGAAGCTAAAACACTTACATTTTTCAGCTTCCTACTATAATCAAGACTCCTAATCAGGAAAAAGGAAAAGAAAAATGATCAGTTTCTTCACTGTGATCTTCATTTCAACATCTCTATGATATATGTGAAAGCTAACAAATATAATGAAATCATCAAAATATATTATTTTTAAGGTCTACAATTAGTAATTTCAGGTACTAAATAAAACTACTTAGAAAACAAAACATAGAAGGATAATATGGGATTAAAATTCCATAGTACACCATGGAAAGATGAATGTTTTGTAACATCTGGAAAATGAAGAATTCCATTTAAAACTAGGACTGTTTATATTTGTATACTCAAAGCTGAACTGTTCAAGTACAATTTTGCCTAGGTTATATATCACTGTCAAACTGAAATCTGACTGCACTTCCAAAATCTTCTTTATACAAGTACTTTTAACAAAGGTCTAAAACTACTTAATTAAATAGACCTGAAAAATATATGTAGAAGAGGCAATACTATCCAAATATTTGTTCTTTTCTGCTATGGACATAAATTAGTGTTGGGGATTAGCCATTAGCAGGAAAATATGCATGCTATGTTCAAATATACACACATTCTTAAATATACAGAAACATTTATTCTCAAACTATAAACAAAAAAGCTACTTGGTGGTACTTTCTAAATATTCATACAGTGAAATATAAAAATTTCTTCTATATTATTCTAAGTTTTCTTTAGCATGTCAACAAATAAATAGGAAAACAAAAGCCACATTTCTTTTTTCCACAGAACTTCAGTTGGGGGTTGGGGAGGGAGAATGTAATTCTATTGAAAAAACCAGTCAAGAATTTCTTCAGATATTTAGATCACCATTACCTAACTGCTGCCTATTCTGACCCAAAGTACAGATTAATGAACAGACGCACAATTTTAAATCAACTGAGATTTGAGGGAACAGAAAACAACATAGGCCACATTAAGGATATAAACCATCAACAGACACTTGCATTGTAAGAAGCAGTGGTCCAATTTGGATTTGATTAAGAGCCTGTTTCATATTCCCCCCTATTAACAGAAAGAATGATATGTCATTAACTGCTTAGGTGTTTGCTAGGATTTTAAAAAACTGAACATAACAACAAAACTAGATGAAAGCAAACAAAAATCTATTAAAGATCTGAACTTTTTGTGAGAAACAACTTAAGAACAGGGAACATAAGACTTTTTCTGCACTGACAATTAACATTTTTTGACTAAAAATTGTGACCCAGTTCTGAAAAAAAGTCACACTTGGCCACACTAGGAGCTCACAAAACATCTGTTGAGTGATTTCCACATAACAACCCATCATGTGAAAACGCTGCTAAATTTTTCAGAGACATCCTCGGGAGCAACCCAAAGGCTTCCGCCCTTCCAGCCAGTCGGTGCAGTTCTCTAGAATGGTATTTGCTGCAAGCCCTTTTGGATTATGCTTTCATTTCTCACCAAGGGTGTCTGGCACCCATTACAGGTGGAGTTCACGAAATTACACACCAGTAATCATTTGCAGGTTCTCCCTCTTTCTTTCTTTCTCTACTCAAGTTACTTCTCAAAAAAAAAAAAAAAAAAGTAAGAAAAATTACCTACAAAGAAAGCTAGTCTAAAGAGTACTTTTAAAAAGACAATCTGAAAAAGTATCAAGATTATATATGTATATGTTGGCCAATTTACTTTTCGGTACAGCAGTAACTGACACTGCAGTCTAAAGCAACTATACTCCAATTAAAAAAAAAAAAGCATCAAAATTTTCTTTTTGGGATCCGCCCCTCTACCTATTGCTTTCACTACTAACTGGTGTCAACAGGGTGTTTTCCATCTCTGCTAATGTTTGGCTCAACTTTCAGAGGGGAAAGCAGAAAAATATAGCAGTTTCTACTTTCATTTACCATAGCTATGAAATCCACATGTGTTACAAATGTCCCCAGACAGTGCTAAGTGAAACCAGCATCACTTACAGAAAAGTTGTGAAGCAGATAGTTCATTCCATGCCCCAATCCTCCTTAATGCTACAGAAGATCTTCTAAGTGCCACAAATGAATTTATGGCATAATTTCCATATAAAGTTCTTTATGTTCTAAATGTTCATACAGTGAAATAAAAATTCCTTCTCTATAATTATCCCAAATTCAACCTCCTATAATGCTTGTGAACCACCCCTCACACCACACTCATCCTTGCTCATTACTCTTCTACCACACTGGCTGGCCACTCTCCTTTCTCTTCCTAGACATCAAGTTTGCTTTTCTTCCCTAGCCTTTCTACCTACACTTCCTCTGCCCTGAATACCCTATAGAACTTTGCATGGCTGGCTCTTGCTTTCCTTTCATGCCTCAGTCCTCAGCTGACATGCTGCCACTTCAGACAGACTATTCTTGACACCCTTTCTTTTTTATTAACCCCCCCAGTTTTGTTGAGCTATAATTGATATAAAACATTATATAAGTTTAAGGTATGCAACACAATGATTTGATATATACATATTGCAATTGTCACTATCTTTTACATCATTTATTTTATTACTATTTTATTTTCTCCTCAGCACTTATCACTCCCTGCAATTTTTAAAAATCTGCTTATTTACTTCTCATTTCTTGACACACAGTATATAAATTCCACGTGAACAGAAGGCCTATTCTCTAGTGACCAGAAAGGATCAGGCACATAGTAGCTGCTCAGTAAATCTGTTGAATGAATGAAAAATATCAGTCACAGGTGAAAGCGATGGGCAAGTGTTTCTTAACAAAAATAATACCCTCAAGTGAAGGAAAAACTTAAAAGGGAAGAAAATAAGAGGAAATACAAAACGGGAGATAAATCGAAAGATATGATAAAGAAGGGAAGGGAGGCACTGGGCAGAGGAGACAGAGAAAAGAAGCAAAAGAAAGATAAAGGACAGAGGAAAGAGCAGGAGGAGGGGAAGATGGCCTAGTAATTGGGAAGTGATTGTGAGCCACTGGTCTAAGTGACTATTTTTTTCCTTTGGATTGCTTTCTGTGTCTTTGAATTAAAGTCTCTTTAGAAGTTGGTTGAACCATCTTCCCAGACCTGCCCTGAGCAAGCTTTAGCTAGAATCATACCCGTTAAGAATATTCTGTCCAATTCCATTTTACATATGAAGACACAGAGGCCTACTGAAGCAAAGGATCTTGCCTTGGATTATAGACCTAAGGGTAGCACGTGTAGAGGTAGACCCTGGATTTCCTGATGCCCAGGGTCTTACAGAAAAGCAATAATGGTGATATGAGTTCTAAATCTCTAAAACTAATCAATCTCAGATTAGTTACTGGTTACTAAACCATTCTCCTGGTTTAGTAACATACTGGTTTAGAGTGACTTACAAAAAAAAAAAAGAATGCAGCTGCCAACACTGTCAAAGTGAACTTTCCTTCACCCTCTAAGCAATGTGTGTGTGACTAATGATTACCGACCATGCCACACAGTTACTATTGTTTCTGGTCACTTGCCACCCAGGTGAAACTACAAATATGAGATGAGGCAGAACCTGAAACAATTTCCTAAACTGAGTAATGATTTATACAGGCTGGATTTAGATACAGAATAAATGAAGCATGTGAGAACTAAAATGAGGTTTATGGGGCTTTCCATATTCAAATATCATAACTTTTATTCTGTTATTTTTGCCCTTAACTAAAGTTTTTCCATGAGAATATTAAAGAGAGGTCAAAAGGTACAAACCTCTAGTTACAAAATTAATAAATAATGGGGTTGTAATGTACAGCATGATAACTATAGTTAATAAAACAATATTGCTTATTTGAAAGTTGCTAAGAGAGAAGATCTTAGAAGTATACATTGCAAGAAAAATACACTTTATATAGTGACAGATGTTAAGTAGACTTACTGTGGTAAATATTTTGCAATATACACAAATATTGAATCACTATGTTGTACATATGAAACTAATATCATAGTGTATGTCAATTATGTCCGACTCTGTGTGACCCTATGGACTGTAGCCTGCCAGGTTCCTCTGTCCATGGGATATTCCAGGTAAGAATACTGAAGTGGATTGCCATTTCCTTCTCCAGGGGATCTTCTTGAACTATGGTCCTGGAGGAGACTCTTGATAACCAGTCAATCCTAAAGGAAATCAACCCTGAATATTCATTGGAAGGACTGATGATGAAGCTGAAGCTCCAATGCCACCTGATGTGAAGAACTGACTCATTGGAAAAGACCCTGATGCCGGGAAAGATTGAGGGCAGGAGGAGAAGGGGGCAACAGAGGATGAGACGGTTAGATGGTATCACTAACTCCATGGACATGAGTTTGAGTAAACTCTGGGAGATAGTGAAGGACAGGGAGGGAGGCCTGGTGTGCTGCAGTCCATGGGGTCGCAACGTGTCGGATATGACTGAGTGAACCACACAGCAAATGTCAATTATACTTAAAAAGAAGGCACACCGACAACAGAGAAGTGATTTTTATATAGTCAATCATGGATGACTCTCCCTTACTCCTAGTCATAAATCATAAAATCCAATATGAACTCCAATTCAATTTCATTTAGTAGTTTCCATATTTCCCCCCATCATTAAAAAAAAGCCAGTATCAGCAGGCAAACACCAAAAAATTTACAGCTCTGAATTTTGGTGTCTCTCTTTCTTCTGCCCTTCTATGATAAAATGATCCAAAAGTAATCAAAAGGAGAAGGACATCCAACCCAAAGACGCTATGTATGTAACTAAGATTATTATTAAAGCATATTAATGCCAAATACTGTTTGACTAATTTGGAAAATGTTTTATATGAATTTGGTAGAGTCTGAAGAACTTTTAAACTACAGGAAAGTTAACTCTACCATCTCAAAAGGACTCTTCAGCTCATTACTCTGCTCACAGCTATTTCTTTACAGAGAAGCATATTGCCTTTTCTTTTACTATAACATTCTTTCCCAAGAATTCTTTGGCCCCAAACATGGCCCACTGAGTAGACACAGTCAACAATGGCCAAACGGCCAATGATCCATCTTCAGAGAACTTAATCACTGACACATATGAGAAAACAGCTACACATGTAAATGAAGAAGAGATTTTTCCATAATCTATTGCCTTCTTTGCATAATAAACAGAGTTCAGAACTGTTTAGGAGTTTGCAGTCTTCCAAGAGCCTATTCATATGCCCAATTGGAGCCAATAAAAGCTTTTTGTCCAACCCAAATAGATTCTGTGCGTACTTCTCCCTTGCTTCTCCCTCTGTTAAGTTTAACCTAAAAGTTTTCCTCCTTTTCTCTAAAATTCTAACTCAATATGTATGATTTTTGCATTTCAAAAAATTATGTTTGATCAGAGTGAAAGTTATGCACAAGGGAAGGCCAATGTGGCTTGTTCTGAAAGCTGGATTTTCACCTTCACATTTCTATTTTATTAGGCATGTCCAATTCTCTGCCTCTTAGACCTTACAACATCATCACAAAACTGCAAATCAAACCATAAATGGGTTTCCCTTGAACATAAATCGTGCATGACTTACTTGACTGTTACTCTGTTGGACGTATCCTGTAGGTCACTCGGGTCAAAAAGTTGAGATTCTTTGAGGCCAAGCTCTTTACAACCTCTCAAGAATAATATGATATTGTCCTGGAAGGAAGAAAAGAAATCTAAGTCTGTATTGTTTAATATTATTTCATGAACCAGTCTTTCCTCTTTAATAGTCCAAAGCACTGGAGAGAAGACAATCATTGGGGCAGTGAGAGTCAGGTGTGAGTCACGGCTTGTTAGATAATAAAATCATACTTTGTTATGAAATCCTGGAGTAAACAGATACTTTACACTTCTGAACCCACAGCTATGTCAAATTCATTTTCCTTCCCTTTACCTTTCACACTGGTATAAAACTGTAAGTTAAATGCCACTGAAAAATAACACTTAGGACTTCCCTGGTGCTCCAGTAGTTAAGAATCTACCTGCCAATGCAAGGAACAAGGATTTGATCCCTGTTCTGGGGAGCTTCCACATCCTGAGAGGTAACTGCTAATCCTTCACTTTTATGCCTGTGTTCTGCAACAAGAGAGTATCCCTTGCTAGCCACAATTAGAGAAAGCCTGTTTGCAGCACCGAAGGCCCAAGACAGCCAAAAATAAATAAATAAATAAATATAAATATATTTTTTTTAAAAAGAAGTGTAACAGCGATTTGAGGGGAGTAGTCCCTGGTGGCGCTAGTGATAAAGAACCTGCCTGCCAATGCAGGAGACACAGGAGATGCTGGTTCAATCCCTAGGTCAGCAAGATCCCCTGGAGAAGGGCATGGCAATCCACTCCAGTATTCTTGCCTGGAGAATCCCATGAACAGAGGAGCCTGGTGGGCTATAGTCCACAGGGTCACAAAGAGTTGGACACGACTGAAGCAACTTAATACACAGTACTCCTATTGCTTCAAAGTTTTGTCCCATGTCTTATTGCCTAGAATCTGGTTCATTTTTTTTTTTAATAGGATTTACTACCTAAGAGTCATCTTCGAGTTTTTCTTTCTAACTGATCTTCAAAAATACATCCTTTCTCAGTGAGTTTTGATCAATAATACCTCTTTGTGGACTGTAAACTGAATTAAATTGGTGGGGGGGGGGCGAAATCTAGACTTAACTGGAAGGGGAGGAAGACGGGGCAAGGAAATCTTCTGGAAATAATATCAAAGACCTTCCTCACGGTGATGCATTTGTCTATCAGGTACAAGTTGACTTTGGCCTGGCAGAGCAGCAGCCACAATCAACTGCTGAGGAAGGGCCTGGCCTTCATCTATTTGGAGTCATTAAGAATAAACAAGTGGCTCTGGAAGGGATGGCAAATTGTGAGTCATCCTTTAGGAACTCTAGGATATTAGCTGCAGATTCATCAGTGATGTCTTCGTAAAAGACTTTGTAAAAGATGAGCTAACTGGTTCCATCAGGTAGTTCGAACTTCAGGAAAGGAATGATGAAGACTGGTTCCAGGAGCCGGATCAATGTGGAGTGAGAGTGAAATTTGCTCAGTCATGTCCAACGCTTTGTGACCCCATGGACTATACAGTCCATGGAATTCTCCAGACCAGAATAATGGAGTGGGTAGCTGTTCCTTTCTCCAGGGAATCTCCCCAACCCAGGGGCTGAACCCAGGTCTCCCACATTGCAGGGGATTCTTTACCAGGGAAGCAAACCTATCTAAATGCTCTAAGGCAGATGCTACAAAAATCTGAATTCATTTCTGTGCATAGTGTTACAGTGGTGCTGGTAAATAAATCATATATTTGAAGTGCAATTTAACAAAGTGAACAAAAATCATTGTATTTCCCAATGACCAGCGTGCAGGCAGGATTCTGCTAATAAGACGGCCAGCAAGAACCTCACGCCCTGAGGGACACACTCTACACAATCTCCTTCCCTGGAGTGCCAAGGGGCCTGGGGCAGATGACCACTCTGTGATTCTGCCATTAGCCACTTGGCTTTGAGCTGACCAAAAGAAAGATGGCCTGACTGTGCCTAATCACAGGGAGCTTTACAAAGAAGGTGAAGTCAGAGTTCCTGCTGGCCATAGATTCTATAGCTGCAAGGAGATGCATTCTGTCAACAACCACATGAGCTAGGAAGAGGCCTGGAAGAAGCTCAGCTTGAACTTCAGCCCCTGCCAACACCTCAATTTCAGCACTGTGACACCCTGAGCAAAGAATTTCGTCACACCATGCCAATATTCTGATTAAAGAAACTAAGATAGTCAGTGGATACTGACTGAAGATGCTAAGTTTATAGTAATTTTTTATGTATCAATAAAAATTAATACATCCAGGCTCAAAATAACAAGAGCAATAGCAATGAATTGCTAACCTTTATATAGCCCTTATTAAATGCCAAGCATTCTTCCAAGAATTTTACATATGTTAACTCATTTAATTCCTGTACAACCTTATGAGGTAGGTACTATGATCATCCTCATTTTATAGATGAGCAGTGTAAGGCATGGAACAATTAAGCATCATTAAGGCTTCCCTGATAGCTCAGTTGGTAAAGAATCTGCCTGTGATGCAGGAGACCCTGGTTCGATTCCTGGGTCAGGAAGACCCCCTGGAGAAGGGATAGGCTACCCACTCCAGTACTCTTGGGCATCCCCTGTGGCTCAGCTGGTAAACAAATGGCCCACAACGTGGGAGACCTGTGTTCGATCCCTGGGTTGGGAAGATCTCCTGGAGAAGGGAAAGGCTACCCGCTCCAGTATTCTGGCCTGGAGAATTCCATGGACTGTATAGACCATGGGGTCGCAAAGAGTCAGACATGACTGATCAACTTTCACTTCACTTCAGCCAGTGAGCGGTGAAGGAACCAAGGCTGCACAGCCAGGAAAGAATGGAGGTGCAAAAAACCATGGCAGACACGAGGAGATCAAGCACCAAATCTGAGGCTGGCACCAAAGGAAGAGCAGGCTTCGGAGTCAGGGGCTGATCAAAGGGGCCCTTGAAGGCCATGGAGGGCAGAGGGGTGGTAACGTGGGAAGTAAATGCCCAGGTCTGCAGCAGAAGTAGATTGTTGGGGGTAGGCCTCGGGGAGGAGGCGGTGCAAAGGAAGGACTTAAGAGGAACGAGGCAGGAGACAGGGAAACCAATGAGGAGATACTCCAATCTCATCTCCCCTCGTGGAGGCTTTCCTGTGTGTATGTCTTTCCCCCAGCATGTTGTCTTTCCTGTGTCCTGGATTTTTTTCAGGGTAAGAAGAACCATCACTCAGAAGACCTGTGTCATGTACAAGATATATTGTAGACTGGCAGTGAGCTGGCTATAGTCTGAAGTCATCTACCCTTCACAGTCTCTTCTCCAATCACTTTACATGTTTTAAAATGATCCAATTTCTCTCTGGAGCTTTTCTATTTTGCATCCCACTTCCAGAGGTTTGTAGATGTTCAGGTGAGCCTTTTGCAGGGCATGCAGCAATCTTTCTGGCTGGCCTATGAGCTCTGAGGGCTTCTAACCCCAAGGACATTAAAGGATGGGTCTCAGAACTCTCCAGGAATCATCTGGGACCCCAATAATAGGAACAGACCAGTGACCCCCACATGGTCACATCAGATGTGTGTGACTGTAGCCTATCAGATTCTCAAGGAAGGCGCGAAAGTGTTCTTCCCACGGGCGCTAGCAGAAGTGCCCCCCGAGCGCCGCCCTCTCTTCAGTACACAGGCTGCAGACGCAGAAGCGCCGTGCAGCCAGTTAGGCTGAACATTTTGGGCTGCCAGACTTAAATAACGGCAGGTCTCCTTCCAGCTTCGTGCTGCAACCTAATGATGCTGGAGGGGAGCCAGACCCCAGTCAGGAGAAAAGCCAGAAGGAAGAGCCCCCTCAGCCAAGAGCTAACAAGGGCAGCGATCAGAGTGGGCAGGGAGGGCTGTGCCTTTAATTACTTAAAATGCATCCTGCAAATTCCCATCTGCCTTGCTCTTCACGCTGGGCTTTTTCCACATTTACAACTCCAAGCAAAACTAACAATCTAGTGTCTTAGCTTCTGAAGCCAAGCAACACAACTGTGTCTCAATCCTGGGAAAGAGGTAGAGACACTGATTTACCACAATGATTATTCTATTTAGCTCTTACTAGTATAGTACTGCAAACCCATTAATTCTTAGGCTTCAAAAGAAGTTTTTTAAAAACTCTTCAAAAATGTCAATGTCATGATAAAACAAAAATTGGAGACTGAAGAGGCATGATGACCAAATGTATCATATGACCTTTGATTGGATCTTAGATCCAGAAAGGAAAAGCATAATAAAGACTATAAAAGTTCAATTTAAAGTTAGACTGTTGTTGGATAACATTATTGGATGAATGTTAATTTTCTTAGGCATGATGATGCTGGTGTTGTGGTTATATGAAAGAATACCTTCATTTTTAGACAAACATATGGATTTTTCAAGGACAAGTTATCATGTCTCTAACATAACTTCAAATAGTTCAAGAAAATAAAATGTGTGTGTGTGTGCACGCATGGGCTTCTCCAGTGCTCGGTGGTATAGAGTCTGCCTGCAAGGTAGGAGCCTCAGGAGACGCACGTTCAATCCCTGTTTGGGAAGATCCGCTGGAGGGCATGGCAACCCATTCCAGGATTCTTGCCTGGAGAATCCCATGGACAGGAGGAGCCTGGCAGGTTACAGTCCATAGGGTTGCACAGAGTTGGACACAACTGAAGTGACTTAGTATGCACACACGTGTATGGATAGGAGAGATGGAAATAGGGAGAGAGAGGATGCTATCTGTCAATTATGGAGAAAGAGATAAAGCAAGTATGGCAAAATAACTAATAATTGGCAAATACATATCTCAAAACTTGGCCTTTTTTTTTTTTTTTACAGCCTGGTGGGCTACAGTCCAAAGGGTGGCAAAGACAGTAAATGTGGTGCTGTGGGCACATGGTGGTCTCTGCCAAAATGACTTCACTCCACCTTGCGTGCATGATTAGTGGCTCACTAATGTCTGACTCTTTGCAACCCCATGGACTGTAGCCTTCCAGGCTCCTCTGTCCATGGGATTTTCCAGGCAGGAATCCTGGAGTGGGCTGCCATTTCTTTCTCCAGGGGATCTTCCTGACCCAGGGATCAAAACTGCATCTCCTGTGTGTCTGGCATTGC